CTCCTTCACTTTTCTCTAACTGCACTCGGTTAAAAAATCTTGACCTCTCCTACAACTCTTTAACGGGCAAAATTCCTGAAGAAATTGGAAATTGCAGAGACCTATGGACCCTCAATTTATACAACAATCAACTTACGGGACAACTTCCTGCATCTTTAACCAATACTTCACTGATTAATATTGATGTAGAGTACAATTATTTATCAGGTCAGCTCCCATCAGATATTGTAGGAAACCTACCTGAATTATTATTCCTCCATCTATCATATAACAGAATGACAAGCCATGATCACAACACCAATCTTGATCCCTTTTTTACTGCCCTCAGAAATTGCACTGATTTACTGGAGGTTGAATTGGCTGGCATGGACCTTGGAGGAAGATTGCCTACCTCGATTGCCCAACCTAATCTGCTCCATCTACAGTTGCAAGAAAATCACATCTTTGGATCAATACCCCCGGCTGTAGGGAATCTTTCACGCCTTATGGACTTGAATTTGAAATCTAATCTTCTAGACGGAACAATTCCAGCTGACCTGGGGAATCTGGTTCAGCTCAATTATTTATATCTCAACAACAACCTCCTCTCAGGAACAATATGATGGAAGAGTGAATTTTACTTAGATAATCATTAGCTAGTAATTTAATTATGTTAAATGTATTGGAGTCATGTGATGTAATTTGTCTTTTTGTATTTTGGTAGCTAGTGGTCAAAACCACTCAAGTTTGTACAATGTAAGATGCAAGCTCCATATATCAGTCAATGATATCAAATGAAGACACATGGTCATGTCTTCCATGTTTTCTCTTAATTTCTCCTGTGTTTTTCCCCTTATAGTGAGCTTTCTGTGCTTATCTTCTTCTGATCTCCATCAAAGTGGTATCAGAGCTGTATTCTTGAGGGACCTATGAGAGAGTGGAAACACAAGTGTGTGTGAAGGAGTGTGCTGTGTAATAAAAAATCACAGCTATGTCTTCAAACAACCATGGAAGCTCTCTTTCTAATCCTCCGTTCACCGGAGAAGACTACAATGTCTGGGCCATCAAGATGAAGACCTTCTTGAGAGGTAATGATGTGTGGGAATCAATAGAGAGGGGCTTTAATCCTCCACGGTTACCCCAGAATCCAAGTTTGGATCAAATCAAGAACCATGCAGATTATGTTGCAAGACCCTACAAAGCTTTGTCTTTCCTACAAATTGGGGTTTCTGACGAAATTTTTCCCAGAATTATGAGAGCTGAGACAGCTCAAGATGCATGGGAAACTTTGAAGAAGGAATACAAAGGAGATGAAAGAGTCAAGGGCCAGAACATGGTTACTCCCAAAAGAGAGTTTGCTATGTTGAAGCTGAAGGATACAGAGACTGTTCATCAGTATTCTTCAAAGGTGATGGATATGGTTAATAAAATCAGATTAAATGGCGAGGACTTTCTTGATGCCATGGTTGTGGAAAAAATGTTGGTAAGCCTTTCTGACAGGTTTGAGTCAAAAATCTCTGCAATTGAGGAGTCTTGTAACTTGAAGGAGCTGACAGTTGTCGAATTAATTGGCAAGTTGCAAGCTTATGAACAACGGGTTGTCCTAAGAGCTGAAGATAGAGCTGAAGGTGCATTCCAGGCTAAGGAAAAGCAACATGCAGCTGGTCATGGAAGAAGGCAAACTCCTAATAGAGTTGAAAAAGGAAAAGCTGTTGTTGTTCAATCACAGCAGCTAAAGGACAAATTTCCACAATGTCCTACTTGTAAGAGGACAAATCATGAAGAAAAAGATTGCTAGTATAAGGGAAAGCCTCAAGTACAGTGCAGGTTTTGCAAGAAGCTCAGTCACATTCAGAGAAACTGCAAAGCCAAGCAAAATCAGTATAGGTCAAAACAAAAAACTCAGCAAGCACATTTCACTAATGATTATGGTGAAGATCATCTATTTATGCCCTTGCATGGTAACTCCTCTAGTAACAAGGACTCATGGCTTGTTGATAGTGGCTGCACTAGTCATATGGTGAAAGACAAGGACCTTTTTACAGAGCTGGACAGTTCAGTGAAGATTAAGGTCAAGTTGGCCAATGGCTCTATGGTTCAATCAGATGGAAGAGGCACAGTGGCTATTCAATCAAAGAGAGGTATCAAATACATCTCTAACGTTCTTTACATACCTTCTTTGAGCCAGAATATGCTTAGTGTAGTTCAGATGTTGAGGAATGGTGATTCAGTATCATTTATGCATGATTCCAGTCACATTTAGAGTTGATCAATGACAGACGCAGAAACAAGCAAAGGAATACATTTTATGAGCCTCCTTATGGAACTTGCTAACTTGTTATCTACAGATATTAATCATAATTAACAAAAACAGTAGTCATGTTAATTTCTGGTGGTTCAAAAAAATTTCTTTTCATTTTGTTTATTGGTTTTGTTATTGGACTTAGTTGGGCCTCCCATTGGGGACCAATACGCCCGTTAAACAGTAGCATAACCAGATTTTCGGATATTCAGAATCGGGACCCATGTGCACATGGGCTAAAAACAGCAGTATTTGCAATTGAAGAGCTAATCAAGGACTACTTAGAGGTTGAGGAACAACAGTTTTCAATGCCCCATTTCAACATGGGCCTGAGTTGGAGGAAGATTTTATAGCTG